GGGCCAGATTTTTAAGGAACGTTGATCTACAAAGAAGAGGGGATTAAAAAAAGAAAAAGAAAAAAGAAAAGAAGCCCTACAGATGGGCCTTGCTTTATTTCCCCACAGCACATTCAATATAAAAAGGTAATTGAGTAATTGCTACTATGTCCTACAGAAAAATTATATCAAGATGTGTCTGAAGTTTTAGGAGTAATGGCAATTTTCATAAACATGCAGAAAGTCAAAGAACATTGCCTTTATGAAAATTTTTTGCAGGAGCTCTTTGATGATAAAATCCAGACAAAATATCAAGGGACACATCTTTGTGCAATATACATGCACTAAAATTATGAAACTAAAATATGGAAACTAAATAGGCTCTGTTATAGGGTGGGGCCCAGCAGGAGGCTAAATAGAGAAGATGAAAGAGTATGCATGTGGCCAAAGTACTTTTTTAATATTTAATTTTATTGTTATTATAAAGGTGATGTTCATAGGGGTTTCAGTTACATAAGTCATGTAAAGAGTACATTTCTTTTTGGACAATGTCACCCCTTCCCTCATACTCTCCCAGTTTTTCCCTCCCATTTCCACCCACAAGTTACATAGTTCATTTTTAACATAGTGTCTTATGAGTACCACTGCTGCATTTGTTCACCCATTGTCCCTCCATTTCTGTGCCCCCCCACTTACCTTCCCAAAGGCAGAGAAATGAACAAACAAGACAAAAAAAAGAAAGAAAACAAAGGAAAGGAAACTTTTGTTTCCATTTCCTGGAGTTCATTTTGATAAATATTTTATATGATTAGCTGAACATAGGCATTGTGCTTTTGTGTTCCTCTCCTAAGACTATCTTCCTTTGGTCTCACTGTGCGTGAATGTGGCCAAAGTACTTTTTATGTGTGTATGAAAATAAAACCATGAAACTTGTTAAAAATGTATTGAGAAGGGGTGAGGGAGGATAGAGAAGAATTTGATCAGGATATAATCCATGTACAACAACCACCCCCTTTTACAACTAATATATGCCAATAAAATATCTTAAAACAAAAAATAAAAAACTCAGAAATAGTGAAACAGTATTCATACAAAACCAGCTTTGATAAAACAACACTCATATGTGTTAATGGAATAAATTATCTCATACTGTCATAAGAACATACAGTTGTAAGAACAGAGAAGCCACCATTCCCAAATTTGGAATCTTTACTGAAGCATTAGCAGGTGGCAGAGGGACTCCGGCCCTGAATATAACTAACACACAGCTTATATAGCCCCAAAACCACACAGGGTGCATGGAATTAATCTTAACCAAGTAGAAAGCAAATCAGATGTGAACACAATCAAAGTAAATTAAAAACTAGGGAACACTCAAATCTAACAAAGATGTTAAAAATAAGCCAAAACAAATCAAATGTGGACACAATCGAGGGAAATCAAGAATCAATCATCTAAGGAGAGTAAGACTTTTCCGGAATTTATCAACTCAAAACACATTTGTAAACTAAAGAATGTCCTCTAGCATTAAGGTCTTTTGCTTAGATCCAGTCTTCTGCTTATTTCAATACCAAATTTAACCCTCTCTATAAGAAGGTTTTCAACTTAAAAAAAAACTGAACAAAATTAATGACATATGGAAAGTACATTTTAAATTCAGATGCGTTGTAAATCACTCTTTGGATATAAGATCTAGGAAGCACAGTATGCTTATAGACTGGCTTTATAAAGCAAGGCTGTAGTTACTAACTCAGTTACAGAAAAGGTTTTAAATAATACAAAACTTGACTATACTCTGTCTTAATGCAGTTTTTCTCTGTTTCCATTCACGGAAATTAGCACTTTCTGTTATCAAACTGTCTAATGGTTTTGCTCAAATACAAACCCTTCTGTTTGTCAAGAACTGTGATATATATTTAAGATAATTAAAAGAAATCCAGAGCCTGGGCAGTTCATGTTTTGATGATCTAAACTTAAAATGAACTCTAAGAATTCTATCCTCCATAAAATTTCACAAGTGTAGCTGTTATAAAAGGCCAGATTTTTCTTTTCTCTTTTTTAATTTTAAATATATATTTTTATTGTAAAGATACGGTACAGAGGGGTTACAGTTACATGAGCAAGGTAATGAGTCCATTTCTTATTGAGCATTGTTACCCCCTCCTTTGTTTTCCCCCATCATCCCTTTCCTCCCCACCTCTCCAACTCCTCCCTCCACAACCCCTACAAAGTTGTGTTTTTTTTGGGGGGGGGGGTTCGGTCGTGGGGCCTGAACTCTGGGCCTGGGCACTGTCCCTCAGCTCTTCAGCTCAAGGCTACCACTCTACCTCTTGAGCCACAGTGCCACTTCCGGCTTTTTTCTTTTTGCTTATGTGGTGCTGAGGAATCAAACCCAGGGCCTCAGGCATGCAAGGCAAGCACTCTACCACTGAGCCACCTTCCCAGCCCTCCCCTACAAAGTTGTAAAGCTTGTTGTCAACATAGTGTTTTGTACATCTCATTGTTATAATGGGTCAACCTGTGTCCTTATTTTAGCATTTTGTTATTTCCCTTCTCCTCCCCAAATTAGAAAAATGTATATACAAGATGCAGGACACCAGAATCAAATACAGTGACAACAGGGGTTATACCATGGGGGAAGAACATACAAAGAAACACAAAAAAAATCACATAGTACATTATATATACATTAAAAAGAACAACAAGAAAGATAAAATCTCTTGTGTCTCTATCTTGGGGTTCATTTCACTTAGCATCGGTTTATATGGTCATATGGACATAGCTTTTGAACTCTCCTGCTTTACTTATGGTCATATGTAAAGCTTTTGACCTCTTCTGCTTGTCCTAGACATATACTAGTTATTGCAGATGAGGGAGCCATGGGACCTATGTTTCTTTGAGTCTGGCTTACTTCACTTAATATAATTTTTTCCAAGTCTTTCCATTTCCTGGAAACACAGTTCTTTTTTTAAAGATGGCTATCCAAATTGTAAGTTTCCTTTCTGAAGATGTTGGAAAATAACCTTAAACAAAGATTACCTCTTTTAGGCTATTTCTAAACTGGGAATTTTGTTGAACAACAAACCTATTTGGTGAAAGAAAAAAAGCCTAAAATGGGAGGCTATGGGCTATAATATTAGGGGAATTATAAAAGTCCTAGCATTCACATTTTACACCAGAAAATCCATTTGAAACCTGAGATTTTACAGCACAACGACTCCACTGCTCAACATTTTATTTTTCTTTCTTTCGTTTTGCTATCTGAGCATGATCCTTTAAGAAAGGAAAATCTCTTAAAATGAAAAGATTGAAAATTCAACAATTCTCCAGTTTCACTTCAACTTCCTTTTTTCCCTAAAAACAGCATCTGAACATGGTTCCATCGCTCTCATTCTTTATGTGCAGTGGAAAAAAATACTTCGAATGATGTTCATCTAACTATTACTGAGCTATTTTATATAAATGAGAAAATTCACCCATTATGAGTGTCCCTTACTAACTTTTAATAAACTTACAAAATGTCTCAACCATTTCTACAATCCAATCATATAATGTTTCCATCCTCCCTTCTTCTCCCCCCTCCCCCACTTCCTTGCCTGGTTTCTTTGGGGATGGCATAGGATAAGAGACTCTTGGTTTTCTAAATAGCTGCCAGGGCCTGGCTGCTAGTTCCAGGGCTGTGAGCTATAACAAGACATCCCCCTAGTTCTACAAGTCAGCCCTCATATTCTAGGCAGGGAATGAGTGTCTTGGCTTGCTAAGGAGGCTTCCCTTACTCAGCCACTTAATTTACCTGGGTCTCTCGCTGCCTCCTATTGTACATCTCCTCAGAAAAGAGAGCCTCTAGTTCAGGAGTGAAGCTGATTGGCTGTGTGGTTAGTTGCTTTTATCAGGGCTCTTGGCAGGTCCTATTGAATGGGTTGCCAAGTGACTTCATTAGATCCAGGATGAGGAGTGAATGACTGGACTACTCTATCAATTAGGGGAATGCAAGTTGTTTTGCCTCTGGGCTGTTTTCAAACTACTTTTTTTTTTTTGGGGGGGGGGGGTCCAGTTGTGGGCCTGAACTCTGGGCCTGGGCGCTGTCCCTCAGCTCTTCAGCTCAAGGCTAGCGCTCTACCACTTGAGCCACAGTGCCACTTCCGGCTTTTTTCTTTTTGCTTATGTGGTGCTGAGGAATCGAACCCAGGACCTTAGGCATGCAAGGCAAGTGCTCTACCACTGAGCCACCTTCCCAGCCCTCAAACTACTTTCTCAGTACCTTTCAGAGGTTTTTGTTTCTTTGTCTGGCTGTCTCTACCTTGTCTCAGACATTTACAGTGCTTTTCTTAGCAGGAAGGGGCAGAGAAAACTGAGGCCATGTCATGACTCTCTCTCTTAATGAATTTTATGTTTCACATTGTTTTTTACATTGTTTCCTTTCATTTTGCTAATTTCAGCCCAGTTATATATGACTAACAAAAATTCCAAAGAGGATGTGGAGCTGTGGCTCAAATGGTACTGTACCAGCCTTGAGCATAAAAGTTAAGAGACAGAGCTCAGGCCTTGAGTTCAAGCCCTAGTACACACCCAGAGTCACACACAGACATTCATACACAAATCTTAGTCTAATGAAGGCATTTAATGTATTTTTCCACATGTAATTATGAAATCGGGGACTATGGATGTGTGTCAAAACAACAGGCTCTTCAAAGCCATGCAGTCAGTATTCCATTGAGGTACCCACAAACCTCTGCTTAGAGCATCTCCTTCCTGTGTGCACAGATGGTGTCTACATCAAACATACATGGATCCATGAAGCCAGTGCTGGGACAATGGGAGGAGGGGAGATTGGCACCACACTTTCCTCTCAGGACTCTGAGTAGCAAGACTTGCCCAGGAGCTTCTGCTTTAGCAAGCTTAACCCCAAAAGGCAATTAGTGCCAGGAGAGTTGTAGTTCCAGAACTACCCATGTTTGCCTGGCTCTCCTCTGTGCTTTATTTAGTAGGACAAAGGGTATCGATTAATAAGTACACCTATGTAGAAAAGCAGATATTTATTTGGAAGAAAACCCTTAGCCCATTACATCGGTTCTTTTCCTAATGTATACAGCGTTGTTCTCCAGAAACATTTAAAGGGATACTAGTGAACACATAAATAAGAAAATATAAATAGATGTAGAGGGGTTTAAAAAAAAGCAAGAAGAAAACAAGAAACAGGAAGGGACTGGCATAAAATCACTACAAAGCAAGAAGAAAACAAGAAACAGGAAGGGACTGGCACAAAATCATTACCCTGTCTGTCATGCCTACACTTAGAATAAACAGGGTGAAAGGATACATTGCTGTGGAATTTCTATGCCGGTTCTGACCGGAAACTCAGGCATACTCAGGACTGAGGATACAAGAAGCAGGCCGGACTCCTAATACAGAAGTACCCTTGAGATTCTTGTGATATTCCGTAGATTTCCTGTTTCTGGAACAAAGGTGGTTTCTTCTTAAACATTCATGAGTGCTCACTGTGAGAATGGCACTGTTACCCCTGTCACAACCAAATTCCCGAGAGATCAGTCATTTATCCAGTGAGAGTCTGTTACAAGTCAGGGACTATATAACTATTCAAAGAGCATGAATCCAGGCTAAAGCTCTTGGCTGCTATTTGATGCTCAGAATCTAAGCCAAAAGTGTTAGGTACAAACTTGCAGTGTCTTTCTCAAGTCAGCTGGAAGTTTGGGCAATGCTGAGACACACAGGAGCCCAGGAATAGCCACAGGAGGTTCGTGCTGTGCCTGGTGACTAAATGACCACACTCCTTCCACTATGGGAGCTCTCTCTCTCCTGAGGAAGAAAACACAGAAACTCCAGTCAGCCAGAGTGTGTCATCTATGCATACAGTCCAGTACAAATGCTACCTGGGTGGTGGTAGCTGCAGCTGAATAGATCTGAACCCATGAAGTATTTCTCTTTCTTTTTCCCTCCCTCCCCATAGCCTCCCTCAATCTTTTGGGGGGGGGGGAGGTCAGGTCTGGGGTTTAAACTCTGGTAAGCAGAAGTTCTGCCAGTGAATCACATCTCCAGCCCTTTTTATTGTACTAGTTATTTTTGAGAGAAGAACTCACTTCCTGCCTAGGCATGCATCTGGACCCCGATCCTCCTATTTTTTTATTTCCTGCAGTGGCTGGGATAACAAGTATATACCATCACATCCAGTTTATTTCATTAACATGGAGTTTTGTGAATGTTTCAGCCCAGGCTGGTCCAGTATCAATCCCATCTTCCAACAAAGCTAGGATGAGAGGTACATGCCAAATATATACCTATGAACACACAGTTCTACAGCCATCACAATGAACATCGAGACTGCTATTTAAAAATCTCTTTCCAGTTACTAAGAAAATGCATTTTAGGAGACATGGTTTATAATAAAAATGCTCTAGGATGAACATTCTCTGACTCAAAGGAAAACAATGCAAAGGGAAAAAAAGAAAAGAATAAGTCCAGAGCCTGATAAACCTGGACATGGAATAAATATTTTATTGAAAGTAGAGGAATAAATATCCTAATATAATAGCATTAAGTAAAAAAAATCTGACTAAAAAGAAAACAAAAAGTTAGGATTCCTTGCAGAAAGTTTGAGGTTAGCCTAGAAGAAAAATAAACATAGTAGTTTTCTATGTTAGAACAAGTGTGTATGGGTCAGGTTTGGAAGAAGCTAGAAAATGCCTTGGGAAACCCCTTTTTAAGGTAAAAAGAAAGACAATCCCTTTGAAGATAATCACTTTGGACCATTCAGTCTCTCATCACTGGAGCTAAAAGTTTGAAGTTTCTGCTTCTTAAATTTCTGAGATTGTCATTTTGGTGGAGTGAAAAGGCTAAACTGAGAGCGAGCTGGAGTCTGGAGTTGGCTGGAAGATTCCTCAGCGTAACTTCCATTTTCTCCTGGGCACAGCGCAGAGAATAGTTCTTACCTATTTTAGATTCTTATGAAATGATCTGCACAGAAGCTCTTGTTTGTATGTTTGTTAAACGTTTTTCTTGAGAAAGAAGTTTCCACGTGAGCCAAAACAGTATTTACCTGGATTCCTATTTCTCTAAGTACTTAAGAAGGTATTTTACATAAACATTTTGTAAAAGGTTTAGGTCAAGCTGTCACCACTAAAGCCTGATTTTAATGATCCATGTTTTAAAAACAAGGACTAAATAGAAACATGAAGAGGTTACCCGATCGAGGGTCGCCATCTAGTGGTCACAAAGTATATAGTATCTGAACTTGGCAGCGTATGTGGATGACCTTGAAGCTAGAAAGGTAACCATGGTGTGGGACACCTCCAGCCCTCCAGCAGGCTTCTGTCCTCCTACAGAGCATTCAACTTTCAAGTTATAAATAAAACAAGCCTAGTGCCCTTTAAACCAACCAACCTGCCAAACGAAGGGTTGGTCCTGGGCCTCTGGTCACTGTCAGAACACCAATGAAGACTGACTAGGACCAAGTAATACTAACTCTCTGGGAGACAGATGCAAAGAACTCCAAGACACAGGAGACTTAATTTTAAAGTCATCTTGGATGAAATCTTTGTCTCCCAGGAGTGAATGAATTTACAATCATAAATTTAGTTCACTTGTAGAATTAATGTCATATACATCTTGGTAATGAAAGAAGCTGTAATATGTATAGAAGATGAGGAAGAAATAAAGTCATTATAAAATATCATTGATCCCAATGATATTCTTCTTTCTAAGAAGGCAGCATGTGCTGAGCAACAGTGGCTCACTCGCTTGTAATCCTAGCTACTCAGGAGACTGAGATCTGAGGATCACAGTTAAAGCCAGCCAGGACAGGAAAGTCCAGGAAACACTTATCTCCAATTAACAACCAGAAAAACTGGAAGTGGCGCTGTGGCTCAAGTGGTAGCACACTCAACTTGAGTGGAAGAGCTGAGGAACAGTGCCCAGGCCCAGAGTTCAAACCCCACAACCAACAACAACAACAACAACAACAAAAGGCAGCATGAATTACTGAAGGTGCACAGGAGAGTCAGAGGACCTTGTTCAAACTTGGCTTCACTCTCTTGGCTGTGTAGCTTTGGGCATGCTACTTAACCTCCCTGAGTCTTACATGATTGTTGTGAGGATTGAATAAATAGTACCTAGAAAAGGTTTGCCTAGCATCTGGAGTGTGATTAGTGTCTTCTTACCCTGCTCTCACTTATAAGAAGCTACCTACTTAAACTTAAATAAAACAAAGAAAAGAAAATTTTAACTTGGTGCCAGGCACAGTGCCTCACATCTGCCATTTCAGCTACATAGGAGGTGGAGATTGAGGAGGATCACAGTTCAGGGTCAGTATGGGGGAAAAGTTAGTGAGACCCTATGTTAACAAATTAGTGGACATGATGGTATACAGCTGTCATTGCAGCTATGTGGGATGCATCGACAGAAGGATCACCAGCTGAGGCAAAAACTATCTGAAAAATAACGAACTCAAAAAGAACTGAGGGTAGGGCTCAAGCAGTAGAGCACCTGCCTAGTAAGGGCCAGGTTAGCCCCCCAATTCAAAACCTTTTCAAAATTAGATTTCTTTTTTTCTTTTCCTGGTGAAATTGTAAATGTCAAAACTGGTAGAATAGTGGATATAGTCTGTCCTAGCTTTGACTAAATCATGTGGATTTGGAAGGATTTAATTTTCTAAATGGGTCCTGGAAGCAGCAGTTGATTGGTGGCCAATGATGGGCAATGGTACTCGCTTCCCGTGGCCTTCCAATACATGGCTGCTGTGTGGATTAGATGAGATCTGTGAAGTGTCCACAGCCCAGTCCCCTTCCAGGGCTCACTACGCTCATTCTGCTGCCTTCTTCGGCCTCTTAGGGGACACCGCTGCCATTGCTTGTTTCAGAAACGCCTGTCCTGCTCACAAATCCCTCCCTCCCCCAGCTTTGTCCTAGCTAGAAGAGGCCTTGCACACCCCACCACTGTATGATTTCTTTTTTTTTTCAAAATCCAACCCAAATCGCAGCAGAACACATTCCCACATTTCCCAATGGGAAAGGTATCCTTCAAAGGCCCACGAGAGAGGGCCATTGTCTTCCCACATCCCTTGCCTCCCGGCCTCTCCCTCCACAGGGCGCCCCCTGCGGCCCCCTCTGAGCATCAACAGACCAGAGAAAAAGATGTGGGGGCCCAGAAGAGATTTTCCTGAGTCCTTTGTAAGTTGGCTCAGAGCTGTGGGTGCACCTGTTGTGAGCAATGGAGGGAGAGCTTTACAAAGTAGATGAAAGAAACGCTATCCTTTGGGTATATTAATTAGAAAATAACTTAAAAGAGGGGGCCTAGACCCACAAGGCCTGGGTCCTGGGATCCTTTCAGATGCTAGTTTCATCCCCAGCCTAAAGAGAGGTGAAACTCCAGCGTGGGGTGGGAGGGTGCAAACAGGGAGGGACACCCTCCTTCCTTCCCCAGGGACTCTGGGCCTCCACCCCAGTGCGCCCCGTGGCCGGGCCCAGCTGGAGGGTCCGGTGTGCCCACGCCCCAACCCTCGGCGGGGTGCCCAGGCTCACCGAGCGCCTCTCCACACTCCCTTTTTTCCTGCCATTCTTGCCTGAAGTGACATCCAGCGAGCGGTAGCTGGGTGGCTTCTCCTCGGGCAGGTTTGGGGAATGGGACCCGCGGCGGTGGCGGCAGCGGCGGCCCTGGGGTCCCCGGCTCGGAGGGGTGGCCTCCTTCTCGTCCTCGGAGCTCCAGGAGCTGAGGCCCGAGGTCTGCGGCGGGGAGTAGCTGCGGGGCCGCCGGCCGCGGGGTCTCCCCGACCTCCGCTGCGCATCCGGCCCGGGGCTGGGTCCGCGCGGCCTCTCCCGACGCGGCCTCCACCGCGCCTCCCTGGACGACGACGGGGGCCCCTCGCTGAGGCTGTCCCCGTCCGACCAGGGCGGCGGGGGCGCCCCGTTCCACCGGGAGCGGGAGCGCCGGCCACTCCACGGGGGGTCCAGCTCCTTCCTCCCCAGACTCCAGGGTTTCGGTCCCCGGTCTTGGAGTTCCTGGTAGAAGTCAGGGTGCTGCCTCCTGCCCTCCAGGTCCCAGGATCTGGACAGGGGAGCCGAGGACAGCCACTGTTGGGGGGAGGAGACGCTGGTCCTGGAGGAGGCCGCGGGGCCTCTGATGAGCGGGGGCAGCTGGATGACTCTGCGCTCCACCACCTCGGAGCCCAGGGAAGAAATCATGCTGCAGGGATGGGCCGATCTGGCTTTGGGGTCCGGAGGCAGAGGCTGGGCCAGGTTGAGATTCCGGAGCTCTTTCTCCAAATACTCCAGGACACCATCGGCCACGGGAGGGTGCGCCGCAGCCTGGGTCATTGGCATCTGTGGGAAGCTGGACCGTAAGGAGAGATCTGAATGGACACAAGGACACAAGGTGGTGCACGCGTGAGCCACAAACATGTCACCTGGGGTGGCCGGATTGCCCTCCCTCCTACCCGCAATCATAGATGCCCAACCAGGCTGCTGCACACACCGAGGCCCTAGGCCCTAGGCCGCCCATATTCCTAACCTTGACCTCCAACCCTCCCCCCTCCCTCGTCCCCCAGCTCTGCAAGGTTTACCTTGCTGTAGCAGAGGGTTCATGGCATAAGATGAAATCTGGGAGCTCCTGTCTGCCCCCCAGTACAGGGGTTTTTCCATCATCTGAGGACCTAGGGCCTTAGCCTGCTTCATGTAGTGATGGCGGGCCAGGGCTACAGGGGAAGAAGAAGAAAATATATATATGCAGACCCTCAGCCAGGTCCAGCACTCACACTTCCCGCTCTGTCCCCCTAGCGGACTTGCCACGAGGCTAGCTTCTCCCCAAGGCCACTCTCACCTCTCTTCCATAGGGAAAAGGACGAGCAGGGGATCAACGGTGTCTCTGACAAGGAGTCATTTTCTGAATCTCTCAGACCATGGCCCCAGATAGAAGGTACAAAGCAAAGGACTCTAAGAAGCTGTGAGTCAGGAGCTCTTGAGCCAGGCAAGCTCAAAGCTACCTGCTCTGAATGGAAGGAAAAGGAGAGAGTGCTTCTAGCTGGCCACCAGCCATGGGTGGGAGAAAAGCATGGGGAGGGAGGGAGGGGAGAGACAGACAAGGAGATGTAAGAAGCTGAAGTAAGTTCCAGCAGATTCTTTTTTATCCCCCCCCCCCCACATTATTAAGTGTTGAGTCTTCCCCCTAAGTAAGGGATCCTCTCTAAGGGATGAAATGGGGCAGAGGAAGGGAAAGGAAATATTACTCCCTTATAAAGCAAAGAAAATAGTAGAAAAAAGCAGCACAAGAGGTCTAAAAAAATGTCACTCCACTCCTTTCTTTAGGTGCAGCTGGCCTGTGGTACACAACCTATAATGAGTACAAATTAAAAATAAAAGCACTTATTTGTTTTTGCTCTTGAATTTCTATTTTGAGGGGACTGAGAGTTACATGACTCCCAAGGCCTCTGACTCTAGCCATGCGTGCAGCCATGGATGGTTGCTCTGGGGCTTTGAGTGATGACAGTTCCCTTCCTCTCTGGTACTCTTTCCTCCTTCGTTTGCCCTGCCCTGTGTGTGGCCACCCCTAAAACACCAGGGCTCTGTCCAAGCCATGTTCTAGGCATACCAAGAGGTGGCCTAGAGGCAAGAACACAGGGCCTGAGGTGTACTGAGGCCAGTGGCAAAGGGGTTGTCCTTGGGAAAGCTACCCGGTGGCTCAAGCAGGAAATAAACTTCCAGCACAACAGGAAATGTTTGCAGCAGAGCACCCGGAAATGCCCAGAGCCTTAGCCTTGTTGGTGAGTCACAACCCAGCCCATAGGAAATCAGATGCAAACTTGCAACAGCTCCTGCAGCTGCTACACCTTCAAGCCCACGGACAGCCTCCTGAAGACCCAAGCACGGGCTGCACACTGTGTCCACCATGTTCCTGCATGCTAACAGATGCTGCTCCCTAGCTCCCTCTACTGGCCACTCTCAATACACATAATCCCTTCCTCGCTACAGGTAATTTTCAAAACAAGTTAGTACTCTTTCTGAGAAAGTCCCTAATGTGAAAATAGGAACCCAATAACTTGCGTTTTAAAAGGTTGCCTTCCAGGCCAAGGTCTCACACTGACAGGGGGAGCCAGAACATGAAGTTCTGTCATACCCAAGCCTATGTTCTTTCCGCCACAAGGAGTCCACAGCCCCCTCCCCCCTTCTCTCTCTTGGTGTCTCTCTGCCTCTCTGTCTCTCTCTCTGTGATGAAGCCAAAAGACTACCCTCTGGGAATTTGCCTAAGCTCCAGGCCATTTAAAACCCACTGCAAACCAAGCATTGCCCCAAGGCCTGGAAGCATCTGAGTTCATTAGAACAACTCTGCTCACAACTACCCATTTAACTGAACCCAAGCTTCTTCCTGCTGGTTCCATTCCCACATTTAGCCTCTTCCTTGAATCTCACTCACAGAGATTTTCCTTCAGTATAATGTAAGGAAAGAAAATGGATGTCTTCAACAAGTTCCCTGATTCCAATAGGAATCGACTTCCAGCAGACTGCTGAGGATTTTAAATAACACTCTGAGAAATGTGACCCTTAGGGACAGGTTTCCTTAAACATAGGCTTTCAGGCTCAGATGGATTTCAACTTACACCTGAGCATGTTGAGCAGTGTGCCTTAAAAGAGTTTCTAGAGTCTCTGAGCCCATTCTCTTCCTCATCTGTAAGCTGAAGATAACAACCTTCTCACCAGCCTATTGGGGCAGAGACACCAAAGAGAGTGGCCCTCAGGGCCATAACAAACTTTTATGACAATCTCTTCTATTTCATAGACCCAGGAGACACAAATACTCACGAATGGAAACTAAACCTTCCAAGACATATTCACCTTCACCTCTGAGGAAGTCAGGTCATATTCTTTAAGACATGCCCTATCTTTGGGACAGAAGTGACAGTTAATATCTTACCGCTCTTCTCTTCCCTGTAGCTGGCTCTCTCCTTGTGACTCTGAGATCTCTAGTTTTTCTTGCTCACGATTGGTTACCATTCCTTCCCATCCTCCTTTCACTGTTCCACCAAGCCTGTTCTTCACCCTCCACCCTGTGCTTTCATGTTTATTCTTAGTCAATGTTTATTCTTAGTCAAGGAGCCAGTGGCTCACGCCTATAATCCTAGCTGTTTGGTAGGCTGAGATTGTCAGGATCTTGGTTCAAGGCTAGACCAGGCAGAAAAAAGTTTACAAAACACCTTCGCAAAGAAGAATTGGACCTGGGGCCCCGGTGCCTGTTATTCTAATTACTAGGTGTCCTGTGAAATGTGACCCTATCTCAAAAATAACAAGGAACAGTTAGTGTTGGAGGGTTGACTCAGTAGTTAGGACTCCTGCTTAGCAAGCCTGAGTACTCTTTATTCTTAAAAAAAAAAAAAGGCTGCCTTTTATATAATTATATAAAGTTCTTAGTGTTTTGGGGCACCAGAATATAATGGAATTTTATAACTGCAGAAAAAAGTTACCTTTGCCTAAGAAACACTATTTACGATGTGTGTATGTAGTTGACTGACATAATTCCCTACCGTCAGCACCCTAAATAATGACTATTATCTAAAAAGAAGGAAAGGAAAGCTAAAGGTGTGTGTGCATGTACACATACAAACACAGACAGACAGACAGACAGACACACACACACACACACACACACACACACACACACACACACACACACACACACACCGTGTCTTCCCCTCTTCTTAACCCATGGTTACTTGGTCCCTGGGATTTCTAAAGGACAGGTTTCCAGTGACTTGTTGGCCAGTGCATTCTCAGGAGCACCTCATCATCCTAGGCCCCTTCCAACTCTTGCCCTTTAAACACTTGGGAACTACCAGTAGTTTGCTGCCTATCAAGCAGCCCACCTCAAATAGCTCTATTCCCAATAGGGCTTTCAGTGAGCAAACAGAACAAGTGAACAAGTGTTCCCCCCACTCCCGCAGCCAGCTAAACAGCCTGCAATTACCAGGTCTTCCTCTCTCTATGAACTTTTAACTGATGACATCAGCTTTGTTGATGGTGCAAAAGACATGTCTAACCCAACAAGTTCCTTACTTCTCCCAGCTTTGGGGGCAGTGGAGGAAGTGAGGGAGATTCTCTGAGTGGCCCTTGGCCTTCTGTAAGGTGTGGTCAGAGGTTCTCTGGAGAAAAGCACCAATAACCCACCTAGTAAGTAAGAGCTGTTTCTCCAGTTCTCACAAGAAAAAAAAAACAAAACAAACAAAAACAAAAAACTCAATTCCAAAAAGTTTCATCTATAAGTCATACTGAGTGCTGATTACCAGCACTGAGTGAATTATTGAGAGCTACGAAAATTAAGAATCACTTTCACTGCCCTCCCCCCCCCCCCAACTCTCAGGGGAAGGGAGAAGCAGATTAGGGAGGAAGTGGAGGGAGATCAAGACATCCGCACTGAGGGCTCCATTCTGCATCTAGTATTTTTATTTATTTTGGGGATGTGGTACTGGGATAGAACTCAGGCTTTGCCCTCTAGGTAAGTACTCTAGCTCTAGCATTTTACTTTTTGGAAATCTGGACAGGCTGCTGTGACCTTTTTCACCTTGTACTTAATCCTCCTCCACAGTAGTAACTTCCTTTTTCTCTTCAGAGGTCAAGCTGCCTAGATTTTCCTTTCCACCTGTCCCTTCTCCTCCCCTCCCTTGCCTTCCCTTCTCCTCCTCTCTCCTCTCCTTTTTTTGTCCAGTGGCTAGAACTCAGGGCCTGAACACTGTCCTGAGGTTTTATGCTCCAGGCTAGTGTCCTATCACTTGAGCCACAACTCCACTTCCAGCTTTTTCATTTTCTTTTTTAATTCCTTCCTTCCTTTCTCCCTCTCTCTCTCCCTCTCTCTCTCTCTGCCTGTCTCTATCTCTGTCTGTCTGTCTCTCTCCTTCTCTCTCTGCCCCTCTCTCTCTCTCCTCTCTCTCTTTCTCTCTCTGCTTAATTGTAGATGAGTCTCACCCCTGCCTGGGCTAGCTTTGAATAGCAATCCTCATATCTCAGCCTCCTGAGTAGTTAGGATTACAGGCGTGAGCCACCAAAGCCTGGCCCTTTCTAGGGTTTTTGAGGAGGTGACTTCCATGGGTGCCAATTAGTCATCAATGATCCACCACACGTAAGATAGTTCAGGCCAGGCTAGTGGCTCACGCCTGTAATCCTAGCTACTCAGGAGACTGGGATCTGAGGATAATGTTCAAAGCCAGCCAGGCAGGAAAGTCCAATTATCTCCAAGTAACCACCAGAAAAAGGAAGTGGTGCTATGGCTCTAGTGGTAGAGCGCTCACCTTGAGCTGAAGAGCTCAGGGACAGCACCCAGGCCCAGAGTTCAAGCCCCATGACTGACAAAAAAAAAAAAAAAAGATACTTCAGGCTGCACTTTATTTCCTTGCTACTGGCCTAGATTCATTGCTTACAAAAACACTTGGGGTAATCATAGTCTAAGAAATCCAGGGTAAACCCTTCCCTGCTCTATTCAGAGAGCTCCACAGACAACTCCTCCTCATCAGACTCCTCAGGACCATCACTCACTTGGCAAGTAACCGCATTTATTCAAGTCCAAGAAGCTTTATCTGTAACCTATACTCCCTCAGTTTATCAGTTCTTTTCATTAACTCCAACCCCAGAAGAGAAGCCATTCTCCCGGGGGGGTGGGGGGGGGGAGAGGGCGTGGAATCTCTGTTTATCAGTTCACTGACTGCATGCATTTATCTTCTGTGCTAGCTTGGCGCTAGTCCTTCCTGCTTTTAGTGTCCTGTGGACCTAAGAAGTCTAAGAAGACATTTTCCTCATCTCACTTCATATATTACTTCTCCAGACAATGACTTATCCCTGGACTCTTCTCTTGAGGCCTCTGAAGGTAGAGAGCACCATGGCCCAATATGGAGTCCTATGCTATTTCCTATTCTTTAAGGAGTTTGCATGATCTCAGTCAGTCCCAGAGAGCTCTACCCTTAAAGGCTGTTGGCAGGTCCTTTGTGGTTCACTTACGTGTCAGAGGTACGTGATTTAGCATGGCATTGCTGCTCCTGCTACTTAACTACTGTGGGATCCCTCTGACCTTCAGTCTCCTTGTCTGTTAAGTGGTGTTGACGTGTACCTTCTAAAAGTTGTGAGGAGTCAATGAATTAACATATGCAAAGGGCACATGCATAAGAGACATCCCATAAGAGTTATTTCTCTTTTCCTGTAAGACAGCAACTTTAGCATACAGGCCTGAAACCAGCTCAGACCACTGACCTTCTTGAGTTGTCTGTTAGGGCTGGTTTCTATCTTAATAGTCAATTCCTTATTTTTTTTTCTTTGAAATTTTCTTCTTTCAAATAGACCAAGATGATAAGAGTAATTGTCTCTAGGTACTCAGATTGGTCTACATTTTCCCGAATTTATCAATTTTTTTCTACAATGTGGTGCTCATTGATGCCATTAGGAAATGGTAATGTTATATAAAATAATGCAACAAAATAACTTAAATTTTTTCCATTTAAAGCAGTTCATTCTACTCCATGCCTACTAAGAAAAGATCTTTATAGAATAATTTTTACTTATTTATTGTTTCGCCTTTGCTCTGCATTCTGTATCCAAAATTTGGGGGGATCAAATTTTAGTCCACAGAAAAATCATATTAAAAGAAATATCTTCTGGTCCCTTTCCCTTCCCTTAACACAAGTGGAAAAAAAAATGTGGTACCCAGATGAGCAGTTCACATCATCTGGGAACTTTTGAGAAATACAAATTCTTGGGCCTTACCCCAGATTCATGGAGTCAGAAACTCTGGAGTTGGGGCTAGCAATTAATTTCAGCCAAGCCTTCCACATGATTCTCATATGAGCTTCATTACGAGAACCCCTGCTCTTACATCTTTCTCCTTTACTCTGTTTTATCAAGTCACCTCGAAGAACTAGTAAGATCTTGTAGTAGAATAAGAAACATGTATTAATTTTCTACCCCTGACTTCTCATACATAGTTTCAGGAATTATTGAAATCTCTAGAGTGACGAGTGTGGTCTCTATACTAAAGAGATGACTGCTACATGGGGTCCTATAGAGTTTCAGAATCGAGGCAGATCACCAGAGGGTGATCTGGGACCTTCCGTTGTACCCACTGACCTTCAGGTAGAGACTGGAAATTGAAAGTGATCACCAGTAGTGAATGATGTAATCACTCATGTCGTGAAGCATTCATAAAATCTTGAAAGGCCTGGATTCAAGGGACTTGGGAATGTACAGAGGTGCTGGGGGATGGTGCACCAGGAGAGGGTATGGGAGTTCCTCACCCTTGCTACACCTGGCCTTATATAGCTCTTCATTTGGCTGTCTATTTGTATGCTTCAAAATAAATGGGTAAATGTAAAAGGAAATGTTTCATTACATTTCCCTAAGTTCTACTTTAGCAAAGCATTGGAGACCAAGGAGGGTTTTGTAGGATCTCCCAATTCATAGCCAAGTGGTCAGAAGCATAAGTGACAAACTGTTGCTTGCCACTGCCCTCTGACATGGAAGACTCTCCTGTGAGACTGAACCTACAACCCCAGGGTTTTGTTACTAATTCCTCTGTGTGTGTGTGTGTGTGTGTGTGTGTGTGTGTGTGTGTATTTTTCCTCCCCTTTCAGATGGCTTTCTCTCAGGGCTTCATTCACACCACTCTCCCTAACCACTTCATGCCCAAGCAAAGTCAATGCTAGAAGCAAAAACCATTTTCAACAGCACACACACACAAATCAGACTGTGAAGGAAATGCCCTCAGAGGGCAGAGCTATGTGAGAGAGGTTTTTAGGCTTTGGGCTCCCTCAAACATCATAGAGCAGCAGGGCAGAGGCTAATGTCTTCTGAGCCTGTGATAGGAGAGGCTCAGAGGAAAGCTATGAAGGACCCAGAGCAGAAGAAGCTAATCTGCTTGGGGCACCGGGCACCTGTACTAGCTCATCCTACTGTTGCTCTGTCCTCTCTTACCTTCTTCAGGGCAGCAGCAGCGGGTAGGACAGCAGGGGCAACGGATGTAGCAGCAGCAATACTGAGGACAGCACTGGCACCAGCACACACCAATCAGCAGCAGGAGGAGGAGGGCTCCCATGATGATGAAGATCACCGTCAGCCAGTCTGTGGCAGGGGAGAAGTTAAGCAAGAGTGAACTAAATTACTCAGGAGACACTTTAACATTTTTAGTGTCTGGTAAATAAACATAGCTCTTGTCTTGCAGATCATGCTGGCAAAAGACAGTTAGCTTTTATAAAAGAACTTCAGAGGTTCGATACAATGGCAATAACATATGCTTGTCTGTTTCCGTTTTTATAATTGAGTGACCATGTTCCTCCATATAAAAGTGTTACAGTGGTTACAAAAAGAGAGTTACAAAAAAAAAGTTCCAGCAGCACTTACGGAGGACAATGAGCTTCACCTCCTTATCTGGGTCTCCTGATGTGTCCCCTGGTGCCTCAATGGTACAATAGTATACTCCATGGTCCCACCACATCACCTCGTTAATCACTAGATCAGCTCCTATGTAGGGAAGAAGGAGAAAGTGGCTATTGTCAAAGGACAGGACCGTGGCTTCTGACCCAGGGTTGCCTCAAGTCCCTAACATTCTTCTTCCACATCCTAAAATGGCTCTTGGTAAAGGGGAGGAAAGTCTCAATTCCTTCTTTAAAGACCTTCCTTTTTCTCCAAACATTATAGCCACGGCAGACCTCTTTATTGAGCTCCACTAAACACTTTATTTTCTGTTTCATTTCGTTTTGTTTTTGTTTTTATCTTTTCTCTTTTGGTACTGGGGATCGAACCCAAGACATTGAGCTAGGCACATGCTTTGTCATTGAGCTACATCCCAGCCCAAGTACTTTTTTAATTTATGAGTAAAATTCCATTTTGTATGCATATACACATACTATGTTTTCTTGAGCCACTTGTCCACTGAGTCTCCACAATGTGACAATGGTGAATAGTGCAGCAGTGAACATGGGTGTGCAAGTGTCTTTACTGTACCCTGACTTCTAAACTTTGGAATAAATACTCAAGCCCATGTAGTACTTCATAAGGATTCTGAATGTATTTCTTCATTTAATTCCCACTGTGACCCTATGATGGGATACAGATTGACAGTTGTTTTCTAGTAATATTCCTAGCCACTTCTTCCAGGATCATAGAGTTGTTGGCCATCTATGTAATTGCTATGATTTGAATGTTTGCTCATATCAAAACTTACACTGAATTTCAGATGCCATTGTAACAGGGCTAAGAGATAGAACCTTTAAAAGTGACTGAACCATGACTACTCCACTCTGTGGGTGGGAGGAAGAAGTGGCATCATGAAGGATGTTTGATGCCATCTTGCTTTCTCTTCTTTTGTTATAGAGTGATGCAGCAATAGAAACTCATTAGACTTCTCAGTCAATTCATTTTTTGCATTACCAATACATTTTGCATTTTGCTTGTTATAAACTACCCAGTGTCAGGTATTCTATTAAAGCAGGATTAAACAGACCAAGACAAGATAAAGTTTGTATTTCACATCCTTTCTTTTTTTTTCACACATCCTTTCTTACTGACAGAAATGGACCTGTGGATCCATTTTGACAAATAGAATGTCAACAGAAGTGTCACATAATGGCTCCTAGGAACTTCCTCAAAATAGCTTGTGAATACCTTTCTTTCCCTTTTCTTATTTCTTCTGCTACTCTCTTCTTGGTTCTATGATTTTAATGTGTCCCCAAAGTTTCATATGCTGGAAGGTTGATCATCAGTGTGGCAGTAGTGGCAGGTAGCAGAACCTTTAACAGGCAGGGCTTATATTTGATTATGATTAATTAGTAGATTATTATTATAGTAATGATATCATTGGAGGTACTATTCCAGGAAGGGATTAACATAATTCTTCAGTTAGTTCTTGAGAGAGTAACTTACTGTAGAAGAAAGAGATTGACTCTTTGTGCTCTCTGCCTTCCTGTCTCACCATGTGATCTTTGCCTCTTGCACACATCCATGCCATAATGCCATCTGGCTATGTGGTAACCCAGTAAGGGGGCCCTCACCAGACGCCAAACATGGGCATCTGATATTGGACTTTCAACATTCAAAATGATAAGCTAAACAAACCTTTTTCTTGACAAATTACTAAACAACAGAAAATGGACTAAAATACATGGAAGGCAAATGTGAGAGCTGCCATTTTGAACCAGAGGAAGAAGATATCGCTGGTGAGCTAGAATGATCTTGGGTCCCCAAAGACTTAATGAAATTGAGTTACCACACTTGGTCTGGACTGTATGCTACCTCTGTTTTTATGCAAGGAAGAAAAGCAAACATCTTTACTGCTTAAGTCACTAATATTTTGGGCTTTTGTTTGCTCACAATCAAACTTGAGTCTCACTGACACAGGGACTATGATTATTTAGCTGCATTTCAGATTAGGAAATCAAACACACAGAGGCTAAGAAACTGGGCAGATACAGACAATGTTTAACAGAGGCAGATTCAAACCCATGTCTCTTAAACACTAAGCTCTACTTCTCTTCTCTAAACTGGAGAACTCCATAGCCTGGACTTCTTCCCCAACGTAAGTTGAGCAAACATCTCTAGTTATTGAAGGGATAGATTATGAAATGAACTTAAATAAAGACAAGATGCCAATATTTTAAGAGTAAATATTACCCAAGAGGAAAAAAAAATAAGTTCCTATGAGTGCTGAATACTCTGTTACCCTAGGAAGATAAATGAATGTTTAACATATATATTCATGTTTAGCAAATTTAGCAAATGTTAACTGAAGACCTTTTGTGGATCCAGCACCGTGGAAGATCTAAAAAGGAACAGAAATGATTCAAAAGCCAGCAGTGGGCTGGGAAGGCGGCTCAGTGGTAGGGTGCTTGCCTCGCACGCACGAGGCCCTGGGTTCAAATCCTCAGCACCACATAAGTAGAAAAATCGAGAAGTGGCACTGTGGCTCAAGTGGTAGAGCACTAGCCTTGAGCTGAAGAGCTGAGGAACAGCACCTAGGCCAAGAGTTCAAGTCCCACAACACTACCACCACCAACAAAAAAGCCAGCAGGGCAGCCTCATGTCCCAAAGTGCTGGAAGAACTTGCAATCTTACCCTTAGTAAATGTCAGAGGACATCTCCAAATTCTTCTTTAAGCTATATTTTGATTATCTTTATGGTGCTGTACAAACGATTGCCATTCAATATGTCAGTTTTAAGGACAATGCATCACAATCGATACTACCCCTTGCATTGTTCTTCAGGGGTTTCAGGACCTTAGTATTACAGAGTTGTTCTTGCTTAGTCAGTGATCATACCTGCAATTCTTTATTATCTGTTTGCCAAGAAATACTTATTGAGGAAATGAAACAAAAATGTGAGGTCATGCAACACTGGAGCCAACTTTGACTTCTGTTTCTTTCTCTTCTACGTCAATCTTGGTAATTTTCCAAACCCACCACCTTTCCCATGAACAAACTTACCCTAGACTTGGAAGATTTGATGAACATGCTTTGGGGGGAAGCCCCCCTTGAAGCTTGATGAGTATTTATAAATCTTCCCCATGAGTGTTTTAGGAATGTCAACATACTGGATATCGAGGTAGGTTAATATCCGATGGGACAGGGCTGTCTCAAGTGACACAAACTCACGTAAGAAACTGTGAGAAAACAATGGCTCCAGGAAGTCACAAGACTGAAAGTGGAAATAAAACCTAAGGGGAAATGCTGATTTCCTAACGGAGAGAAAGAGTGATAGGGTTTTACCCAAGAGTTGTTGGGAGTAGAAGGTACTGCTCAAAATTAGATAAGAACAAAAAGGAAGAGTTTGACATCCACCAGGACTTTCAGCCTTTAAAATCTGTAAAGGACATTTGCCGATTAAAGAGGATTTAATTTTAGGGGTCAGACTAGAACTAAGTCTGCTGGATTTTGACAACGTATCCCTTAAAATCTTTGAGGATGTACTTGGGAACCAAAAGGACAAGATGTTCCCTAAGCCCAGGATTCATGTGCTGGCATAAGGAAATTAGAGAGTAAACGTAAAAGGGTTTAAATATTACAAAGTGAGACATCGGGCTTACATTGGCCCTTTAAATGCTCTGTCTTTAAATGGTCACAGAATATTCACTCATTTCCTCCCACTGTAGTTAAAAGCACCATGAGCAGCCTGCTGGGTATATTCTCCCTCTCTCTTTTTCTAAACAGAAACTGCCTTTTTTTTCTTTAACATAGTACATGAAACTCACTGAAATAGTTTTCAAATGCTTGCAGATAACTCATTGTGACAATCCTGACTAGAATCTGAGGAGCTAATCCATTTTATGACGGATAACCAATGTTCACGGTATACTCACTGACTATGCAGTGATTTCTAAACACCACCTCCAGAGTCCCCACAACTCTCTGTGAGATAAGCACTATGGAAAGTCCAGATTTATAGAAATGGAGGCTTAAAGAAATTGACGGGGTCTGGCCAAATTTACATTCCCTGGTAAATGACGATAGCTGTGAAATGGAGTTAATTTCAATACTGTTTATGCCAGGTCCAAAGGTCAGACTGCTTTAGACACTGCTCCCAGACTCTGCATTTGACCTCTTACTTCAATGTGGGGGAGACAGATACCATTGTGCCTGTCTCTCAGATGAGGAAACATTAGCCAAGGAAAATAATGAATTTGCTTACTATTCACTAAGCTAGTGAATAGGCATTTTATTCCCAGCTCTTAATATTCTAACAATAGAGTGATCTCAAAGGGGTCTCCTATTTATAAATTCCCATTTCCTATAGCATGGGCAACAAGAATGGCTAAGATCAGAACTCAAGGACCTGGAGTTCAAGTAGGCCCTGAGAACAATTTGTAGAAAGGCTCACAGGACTGAAGCACATTTTAAGTAGGAGTCTCAGGAAAACACAGGAACCTACTCATACCTGACCTTTAGCCAAAGCTGCAGAACATCTTCTGCTTCCTGAGACCAAGTTCCAAGGAAGCAACATTGGACAATGCAGCACATTCTCAGGATCAAACGATGACAGTGACCAAGTAAAACCAGCAGGCAACAGAAGAAAACTGGGAAACCCCATGCTGACTCAGCCTCTCAGGTCTGTGTCTGCATCTCCTCTACTGCCTCTTCCCCGGCCTCCCACATACTCACTGTTCTGGATGGTGATCTTGCGTTGCCGGTAATCCACCCCCAGCACAGGCTCATTCTGCCCCCTCCGCTGGGCCACGATGCGAACTTCCCTCTGGTTATCATTGCAGTCATTGGAGGGATCTTGGCCTAGGGACAGTGCTGCCTGGTACGCTAAGGAGAGAGGATGAACAACACACTTGAGTCACAATGATTCAGCTTCTGCTGGCTAGAAAGGGATCTGACCTTTAGAATCCTAACAAAATTCCTAGATGATGCCAATTAGCCACAAGTCCTGCTCAGAAGCACAGTTGTAGCAACTCCAGACTCCTTGATTTTCAATCATTTCCCAATCTTGACTGTATCCCTCATCTCCTTCCCTAACTTTCTTTGTCTCATTTACAGGCTCCTGACCTCTGCTCCCACAGGGTTCATCCATCTGCCCTTACAATAGAAGGGTTGAGAGCTAGTAAATCTGCAGGTAAGTGTTGCCTACAACGCCAGTCTCTACTGCCTTCCCACTTAGCAATGCCTGGATTTAGGAGTCCTTTGGGAAGGATGCTGGGATGCTCAAATGGACTTTGGAGTGTGATTCAAATCCTCCCATGGAGACTTTAGCCCCAAGGTTAAAAGAGGAGAAGTGAATACCTCATCCCCTTACCTCATTTCAGGACTCACTTCCTTCCCCCAAATAGGAATCTACTTTTACTCTCAAAATTTCTAAAGTGTTCATTGCCTGAAGCTGCCTGTTGGGTTTGGCTACCTCTGTTCTCAGAGGGAGGGCAGGGGAGGAACTCTGGTTCCTGGCAGTCATGCTGACATGATCAGGGTAGTTGTTATTGAGAGACAGGACTTGGCAGGATGGTAAGAGGAGCCTGTATAGCATTGAGCTGACTGGTGGCAAATGAGGTTGCCTGGGTGTTGTGAGCAACCTGACACTCAGTGCTTTGTCAGCTAAGGAAGGCCCATCCACCAGGAAGGGTGACCCCGGAAGGACAAACAGCAGTGACAGGAGGCTTTGTCCATGGCCACAAAGAACCCACACCCAGAGGCAGGTTTGCATCATCAGTTCAGCAAGCCAGATTCAACCAGGAAGGAACCAGGAAGTGGACCTTGCTCTTTTGCTTTTCCTGAGCTGTCTTATATATCTTTTTGAGAATAAGGTATGACAGCATTTTTAAAATGTTGTTCATTGTGTAAATGGTTTAGAAATGAGTTCAGTTGATTTTGAAGTGGCCATTTCTTTATTCATTTTTAAAAAATTATCTTTCAGTAAGTGTACAAAGGGGTTTTGATTCAACATGTCAGTTTGTGAGTACGATGCATCTTGATCAGAGTTACTTTCCCCCATCTCTCCCAACCTCGCCCATCCCCTTGATTTACCTGGTTCGATTTCTACATATATTAAAGATGACAACTGCATTCACCCACCTTTCATCTCTTTAGGCTTTGACTTCACCCCTACAAAACATGTTTCAGCTTTCTGGTATCCATTTTTGTTTCATTTTAAATTAAAGTTCAAAGGAGTTACATTATTGAGCTGGAATCCTTTCCTGTATATAACACACTTTCTTTAATATGTGTTTGTGTCTATATGCACATGACCGTATATATGTTTACACATATATTTATAATTTAGTTATAGCTTCCACATGAGAGAAAACATATGTTCTTTGTCTCTCTATAATTATGTTATTTGCAGTGAAATGGATAGACCAGTTTCTTCTATAAAGTAAAGGGAGAAAAGATTGTGTCTTTGTAGCTTCCTCACTATGAGGGTTTATGAGCTGCAATCTCTCCTAGGGAATGGTGGGTGAATATAGTCATAATGCTCAATGTATATATGTGAGGAAGGAACAGGTAATTTGAGGGGATAGGTGGTTTGTGGATAGAATGGGGAAGGGAGAATGATGGAAGGGATGATACACTGATCAAGATGCATTATACTCATAACTGGATACGTCAAATTGAAACCCCCTTGTAAAACTATACTACTACCACTACTACTTCTAATAGTTCTTAATCCCAGTGACTGTGCAGCACAGAGATGTCTGGGATCTGGCAAGAATAAGAAGGGAGAGATACTCACAGGCAGAGAAGTAGTCAAAGATGGGGTCCTTGCAGAAGGACTTGAAGCGCCACGTCACCACCACATCCTGGAGCTGAGCAGAGGTGGTGTAATCACATTTGAGGGTGACTGAAGCAAACAGGGTGACGTAACGTTCTGTGTGCTGGACGGTTACCAGCAAGGACAGGCACCCTGAAGGCAAGAGCAAGAGACAATGCTGAGGGTGACCTGTTCCTGGGGTAATAAACTAGAAGTGGCACTGTGGCTCAAAGTGGTAAAGTGCCAGCCTTGAGCTGAAGAGCTCAGGGATAGCGCGCAAGCCCTGAGTTCAAGCCCTACGACTGACCAAAAAAATGAGTCAAATCCACACCTGCCCTCTTGTTTGTCTCTAGTTGGTTGTTCATAAGCAGGCCTGAGTTCCTACTGGTTAGGGCATGGGTAGAGAGGAGTCTTAACACCCTGGGAGAGGACAGGGTAAAGGCAGTAAGGATGACTACCAAGAACTTACAATCCATTAACACACCCAACAATTGTCCAACAACAATAAATACACAGCCAGTACACCCTACAACAATAAAAGTCTTGTGTTGGGGCTCTGAGTGTTACTCAGTGACAGAGTGCTTGCTTAGCATGCCTAAGACCCTTGGTTTAAGGAGAAAAAAAAAAGAGAAAAAAGAACTAAAAATTGTCTTATTAAAAAACATGTTAAGGGGCTGAGAAGGTGGCTCAGTGGTAGAGCTCTTGCCTTGTATGCATAAGGCCCTGGGTTCGATTCCTCAGCACTACATAAGCAGAAAAAAAAGCCGGAAGTGGTGCTATGGCTCAAGTGGTAGCATGCTAGCCTTGAGCTGAAGAGCTGAGGGACAGCGCCCAGGCCCAGAGTTCAGGCCCCACGACCGGACCCCCCCAAAAAAACAAACAAACATGTTAATACATGTTTGATTCTCTTTTTCCTCTGTCACATCTCTTCTTAAAATGGTTTCTCAATTAGATGGTGACAAACTACATCAAGATGAACTTGAAGAATTGCAGGCTTCAAATTTTCAGATGAAGGCTATTCACTTGGTAGTGAAGTCTGTACAAATATTCCCAAATCTGATAATCCAAGAGATGTGAAACATTCCTGGTCTTGAGCACCTTGGATAAGAGACACTCTGCACATACTAACCTCACCAGTTCCGTATAAAAAGGTAGCATGACAAATCACTCCTGGTATTTATCAGAATGCTTTGCATATAGACTACTGAGTTAGTGTCTGGGTCTCTTTCCCTTTTTGGCTTGTTATGAGAACCAAGGAGAAAGGGATTCAAGCTGGAGCTTTCTTTGCTAGCTTGACATCAATGGAGTGGAGCCACATTCATTTTGGCTGAGTCCTTCCTTAAAGAGCAACATGGTGAGCCTAGCTAGATGACCAAAGCCACGTGATTCTGATCCTATCTTCACTTCTGCTCATAGCCTTCATAAGACTCTGATGCATATAATAGGTGCTTTCATAAATTTTGTTTTGCCTTGGTGCCAGCACTGGGGCTTGAATTCAGGGCCCTGGTACAATCCATTAGCTCTTTTGCTCAAGGCTGGCACTCTACTGTTTGAGCCTCAGCTCTACTTCTGGCTTCTTGGTAATTAATTGGAGGTAGCATCCCACAGGCTTTTCTTCCTGGACTGGCCTCAAACCACAATCCTCAGATTTCAACCTCCTGAGCTGCTAGCATTTTAAGCATGAACTTCCAGGGTCCAGCTTTCATAAATTCCTTTGCATTCCATGGAGACAGCAGAATGCTGCTCAGGACCTGCTCTGGTCCCCAGGAATAACTTGACCTGTCTCCAGAACTGGGGATGATGAACTTGCCACTAGGACAGATGTGTTGGGGAGAGACTCACTGGGCAGTTCAGGGGGAGAAGTGAGCAGGAAAACTGGAAAGAAGGAAGAGATTTAAGATAGACTGATTGCAAGGCTTAGACAGGACTCAGCCCACACAGGAGAAGTAGAGAGTGGCAGGAAAAGTTACTGTTTCAGGAAGAAGAGTAGTAGGCAAAACCCTTTATCTCAGCTGCAAGGGTAAATAAGGCAAGGTTGGAGGTAGAGTAGGAGGCAGGGCTGGAAGAGGTATATGTATCACACTTCATTGTCTACTTCCAGATATGTATAATTGCTGAAGGATTTTTCTGAAGAACAATAGGGTGAAAGTGGTGCTTTCAGGATGGTAAGGGGCCTCATCATTTTCAGAATAAACCTTCAGGAAATGTCCACTGTCTTAATCAGCTGTGGAACCCTCCAAACTTAGGCCAAAACTGGTACCTCAAACCTTACTTACATGGATTACTTTACAATCTGATTTTGTTTCAATTCATGCTCCTCCCTCATCCCGCTCTTACCTATTATTCAGAACTGACCTGAAATAGTCTCTGGAGCATTCATAGATCAAGGCTAAAGCTGAACGAAAGAGGCAGCTATAGATAAGATTTTTAGACAATGAAACAAGTGTCATTGCCAATAGCAGCTCATTTTATTCAGTGACACTGAAAACCCACTGGCTTTGGGTCTATACAAAACCTCATGTTCACACAGCACCTTCAAGTATTTTCTTTCCCATACTAAAAGTGATCCTGGGAGGAAATAAAGCTGCACCTTTTCATATACAGACAACTAGAGACTTGGAAAAGTTAAACTTGTCTGGGGTCATTCTTATCCTTAGGTCAGTCAAGGCTCTGTCCCTGAACAGGGCTTCTACTGTTTTGCCTAGCTATTCCTTAAGTAAACGAAGAGAACTGGGACTGGGAAGGTGGCTCAGTGGTAGAGTGCTTGCCTTGCATGCATGAGGCCCTGAGTTCGATTCCCCAGTACCACATAAGCAGAAAAAAGCCAGAAGTGGTGCTGTGGTTCAAGTGGTAGGGCATTAGCCTTGAAGAGCTGAGGGACAGCTCTCAGGCCCAGAGTTCAAGCCCCATGACTGACCAAAAAATAAAAAAAAGAGAACTGGTATTTATGAGTTTACAAATAACTGGAGCTTGGGGCCAGGCTTCACAGCAATATTAAATATATAACTGGTGACTAATAGTGTACATGTTCTTTATTTCATAGAAGTGTAATTTGGTATGAGCAGTTTATTCCAAGACTATAATCAACATTACTAAGTGCATATGGGAGGAAAAAGGATGTGTTTCCTGAGGTTCAGAGAAAGAAATTTGATTGGAGTCAGAAGATACTCTGGGCTAGCTTTGAAGATGGCTGCATCTGACCCTGTTGAGGGAGGGAATGGGAATAAGGGGAAATCATTTTCATTAGCAAACACACACTCCGCTTTCATCTTTGCCAATGTCAGTGCTGGCTTTGCTGCCTGGGGACTTTTTTTATTCTTTCTGTTACTTTATCCTTTAGTGAATTTCAAGGTTTAAAATGTGCTAGGTGTTCCCATGTTCTGAGCATGCTGAGCTCACTGGTTCCCACTCCCTCTGCCAACCCCACTGCATCCTGCACAGATCACACCTCCCCCTCTATCCTGAGAGAAGCACACACAGTTAATGAGGAAGAATTCCACAAGAGGCATTAACTACCCAGTATGCATTTCTCCCTTCTCATTATTGGTGTCAGCCGGCCCTCAGATTCAGTCTACTGTGTAGTAGGTGACACAAGTTCTTTACCTCTAATCCTCTCAAAACATCTTAAGTAGGGATCATCTCTGCTTGCAAATATAGATAAAAGTTCAGAGGGAATAAGACAAGCCCCCATGAGCTCACCAACACATGCTTAATAAGTATCAGCATCAGGATTTGAACTCTGACATCACAACACACTATTTCCCAAGTGGGCAAGGAATTCAGACACTACATGGGAGAAAGGGAGTAGCAAGAACTCCATCTTGGGCTGGGAAGGTGGCTCAGTGGTAGAGTGCTTGCCTTGCGTGCATGAGGCCCTGGGTACCATTCCACATAAGCATGGTAGGATGCTAGCCTTGAGCTGAAGAGCTGAGGGACAGCACTCAGGCCCAGAGTTCAGCCCTATGACAAAAAAAAAAAGAAAAAAAAAGAAAAAAAACCCACCTCAAAGGCAAAATGTCTCATCTTTAACCTCTCAATACAAGTATTCCCAAAGAGAATTCACAGTACTCAGTGGTAGGATTTGAAGAACAGAGCCCAAACCAGCAGAATCTGGTGATATGAGCAAACTCAGAAAGGAAATGCCCTGATTACAGCTGCCTTGATGCATCTTCACTCTTTCAAACTCAGCACAAAAAGTTTCTAAATTCTCGAATTCCCTTCATCCCATGCCATTATCTTCTCTCCCAGTGTATTTCCATCTACTTTTCAAGATGTCTCTAGCATTTTCTCTTGAAAACTTTATATCTGGGGCCTGATTCTCTCTATCCTGATTCTGCCTCTTCTCCCCAAGTTAAGGACCTGGTAAGTTATTTCCAAACTATAATATATCCTTATATGCAAAACTGAGATGATGATAATGCCAGCCTTTTAGGGTTAGATTGAGGATTATAAAAAGTCCTTGTTTGGAGCTGGGTGCTGGTGGCTCACCCCTGTTATTCCTTCTACTCAGGGGGGCTAAGAGCTGAGGATCATGGTTTGAAGCCAGCTTGAGTGGGAAAGTCCATAAGATTCTTGTCTCCAATAAACTATTCAGAAAAAGCTAGAAGTGGCTCTGTGGCTCAAGTAGTAGAGTGCTAGCCTTGAGCAAAAGAAGCTCAGGGACAGCACCCACGCTCAGAGTTTAAGCCTCAAGACTGGCAAAATATAAAAATTCCCTTTTTAGCAAACAGCCCGATACACCGTAGACATTCAAAAAACATTAACCAAATCATTTTACTCATTTTGTCTAAATTGGGAGTTTGGGAATCAACTGAGATCTGCATGTAAACAGAGAAGCATTTTGAAAGAATTAAAGTGATACTCCCCTCTAAGCAGATATGACAGTCTTCTCTTTATGAAACAAGTTTTTAGAGTAAAAGCTTTGCAGCTTTGTATCCCAGCAGGCCTTTAAGAGAGAAAGGGAAGGAGAACTATCAAGTAAAGGGAGAGGAAACCCTGCAGATAAGCCATTAGAGTTCATGGGAGGAAAGATGAAGAAGAGAATTCTCGTTTCTCACCATCAGGAACTTTTTGAAACTATGCTACTGTGCCAAGTGGGGATTTCCATCCTTCAGTAAAGCAGAAGCATCATAATCCACCAACTAAATACCATA